ATATATATATATATATATTTAATATAATAATGAAACTTCTTTATGTGGAATAAAAAGTTTTATTTAATGGCAAACATTTTCAAATCACTTCAATATATCTTAAAATTTAAGTAGTTTAGCAATAAAATTGAACTAATCACTGTACAGTTGTTGCACCTGTAAAATAAACGACTACTTGTTAATGTATATAATTAACTTTATTATAATACGAATGTAACTTGGTGATATTCAAACGTAACTTTGTGCCTCCAGGTCTAAGTGTTACAACACTAATGCACAAATGACCGAAGAAAAATGAACACGAGAAAGGTCAGAGGTGCGGGGTCACCTAACTAGGTCAAGAAGCAATTCGGTATGGGTTATCCCCTGGAGTACATACATAACAACAGTATAATATAGATTAATATGCATGCCAAATATTGTATAGTAGGATGGAGAATTCACTGAGTTTGGCGTTAAATGTTTTTTTATCACAAGTACTTTCAATGAATTTATACTCGTTGTCGTGTTCGAAAATTAGTCGCTTGTTCTTAGCGGTTTATCAAATATTTTAATTTGAAAATATGTGTTCTGTTCTTCTTCTCAGTATATTCTGTATGTTCTTTTAAAGCATTTATTCACTTGACAATGACAATTATAAATTCGTCGAAAGTACTTGCGATAAAAAAGCATTTATAATGCTGAACTCGGTGAATTCTCCGTCCTACTGTACAGTAGTTGCTACTTCATTATTTTAGTAATTAAACAAAGATTGTATGGTTGAATTTCAATGACACAGGCTAGAAAATGATTGAAATAATCCAAAAACATTATTCTGAGCAAAGTTTAGCAAAATATATAAAATTTGCTCAGAATGAAATTATTAAATAATACAGTAGAGCATTGTTTATCCAAAAGAATTCCAGTCGGCCTAAAGTATAATTTTTATTTGTTTTTATATTTTTCAATGTATTTATCTCGTTTGTAAAACATAAAGAAATAATTTTTAACGATACAATAGCCATGATTATTATTTTAAAAAGTTTACATTAGGCTTAACATCGACAAAAATTCAACGCAAAGCGATACGCAACAGAGAAAAATTTCAGGATGGGATAGGTTAATATATTTTTTCGTACATAATCAGTTATCTGAAAAGTAAGTTATCCGAACAACCCCAATCGATTCGGATAAACAACGTTCTACTGTAATAATAATAATAATAATAATAATTTCAGTTAAATATTATTTATCAATTTTTTAAACTATTATAATTAATCTAACAAAATAAACACCAAAACAATAAACAAGAAAGTGATAAATCTCCATAACAATATAAAAAATTTAAGACATATTTTTTTCTACAGAAAAGTAATTAAATTTTATATGAAACGTGATAAAGAAGCTTACCACACTCATTTTCATCACTTCCGTCACTACAGTCTACTCTAAAATCACATTTTCTTTGTTCACTGATACAATATTTATCAGCCAAGCAATACCAATAGCCTTGTGGGCATTCTCCTGGTCTTAATGTTGTTTTTATTCCTGAAGGAGTAGTCTCAGTCCAGCCCGAAAGTGACGTTCTTGAAGTAATTCTGAAAAATTAAAAATTTTCATTTTATATTCAATGATACAAAATTATAAAAGATTATTAACTGTAATATATTCTATAACAAAAGAAAAAAACACAAACAAAACCGTTTTTTTTTTTTTTTTATCGGTGTTGTGCCAAATACAACACTGATAAAAAAAAGGTTTTGTTTGTGGACGTTTATTAATACAGTAATACCCTGAACTTACACGATAGGTGGGACCGAGCGATAACCGCATAAGTCAAATTCGCATAAGTCGGGGTATAATTTTACAATTTGTATAAAATCCAAGTCGGATGTATGTAAGCTAATAAATGTTCTCGCTAATCTTATTTCATCTTTTGATTCGTTCACGGTTACAAGAAATCACCACATAGAGTCTCTCAAGTCTCCGTAGATATAACAAACGCAGAAATAAATAACACAAAATAAATTGTAGCTACGTGTCAATTCCGCATGACACGTCCAAACATGTAAGCTGAACAATAGTGTGGGGGAGTGAGTAATCAAGAGTTGCGTGGCACTTAAACAAAAGACGAATCAACGAGATTTGAAAATCGCGTAACTCCAGGTTCGCATAAGTCGGGGTAGCGTAAGTCGAGGTATTACTGTATTAAATTCATTAATATTTCAAGCAAAATCATATTAAGAATTATATATGCCAAGACGTTTACAAGTATTACTATGAAGTATTGAAATTTTCATGACGATAATTATATAAAGTACATAGAGATTGTATCATATATACCAATGTTTCCCAAAATACCGGGCCCACAGCTCAGTACTGGTTTATATTTGAGATAGATCATCTCCAATTGGGAAAGATCATTCTTACAGATGATAAAACCAAACAAGAATCTACATGCCATATTTGCAAGAGGGATAAAATCCCATAGCAGAAAAGATCAATATTTGAAGAATTATTGACAGAATAGTTTTTAGTCAGTTCTAATTTATTCAAATTTCAAATATTAATCTATTTTCAAAATGCAATTATTTTAATTTTATGATCTCAAATTAACTTTTATGGTATGATAATAATCCCTATTTTCAATGTTACATTCATATAATTAATTAGTTAATTAATTAATTAATTAGTTAATTAATTTTTTAAACTATTATAATTAATCTAACAAAATAAACACCAAAACAATAAACAAGAAAGTGATAAATCTCCATAACAATATAAAAAATTTAAGACATATTTTTTTCTACAGAAAAGTAATTAAATTTTATATGAAACGTGATAAAGAAGCTTACCACACTCATTTTCATCACTTCCGTCACTACAGTCTACTCTAAAATCACATTTTCTTTGTTCACTGATACAATATTTATCAGCCAAGCAATACCAATAGCCTTGTGGGCATTCTCCTGGTCTTAATGTTGTTTTTATTCCTGAAGGAGTAGTCTCAGTCCAGCCCGAAAGTGACGTTCTTGAAGTAATTCTGAAAAATTAAAAATTTTCATTTTATATTCAATGATACAAAATTATAAAAGATTATTAACTGTAATATATTCTATAACAAAAGAAAAAAACACAAACAAAACCGNTTTAATATAATAATTGTTATTCATTATTGAAATTTTTATAATCTATGTAATGTTTCATTAACAACTTCAATCTTGATATAAAAGACAAGGAGAGCTTAAATACCGAAGAAATAAAAATATTAATGTCCAGACATATCTTGTGTTTACTGTTTAATTTTTATACTACATTCTCCCTTATTTCATTCCACACGTAAACAAATTCACACGAATGAAGCCTAGCCTATGGAATAATTTTAATAAAGAACATAATTAATTTATATTAGCATTAACATAATATTAAGAAGTTGTGAAAAAATAAATAAATAAAACCAAAAGTTGAATTTAAAAAAACATTTAAAAAAGAACAAGTGTCATTAAAACTCAAACTATGGTTTATAAGCAGGGCTGTGGAGTCGCGTAAAAATCTACCGACTACGACTTTTCCTTACCATCCAACTCCGTTTCATATACATAACAAGTTGATAAGTAAAAGGAGTCGGAGTCGGTGGATTTTTGATGACTCCGACTCTGGCTAAAACACCAAAACTCCACGACTCTGACTCCACAGCCCTGTTTATAAGACATCATAATCCATGCTGAACCTATTAAGTCATTAAGAATTATTTTTGAAAAATCAAAAATCATATCTTTTAAATAATTAGTCTTTTCCATAGAATTTAAATTGTTCTTTTAAACAGGCAAAATTATACATTTTGTACAGTGTCTAATTTTGTTTTGATTTGATGCTAAATGGTTAGTCAAATATGATTCCTTAGAGTTTTGTAGCAGTTTGCCATATTTTTTTCTTGTCTTCTCTGCCCACCCCAATTTACGTGCTGTTATCATACTTTGTCCGGTGTTACGCCATTGTTTGTATTCAAGATGGACGAACTGTGGAAGACATTTCCGAGCTCAAGTGAGAGTGGCACTGGGCCGAGAGAGACATTTGTGCAAAGAGATGTATGAAGCTTCAACTAAAGCTCAAGGAACTACAGCACTGAGACTTCACAAGTGTTCAGCCATCTACTGGCAAGATACTGTTTGTATATTTAGTTTATGAGTTTTAGATATAATTGTAACTTGGTTATTATTAGTCCCACTATTGTAAATTGATTTGATTTGATCTTTGGGAAATTTTGGTTAAATTAGTCATAATAGTCTATGGCTGTTGGGACACATGTGAATTAGATTTGTTATCTTACTGGATTGGCTGATATCTCAAGGTCTAGTAGTGACAGTTTTGTTTTATTACATTTTGCTTGTCAAAAGGTGTTTGTGTGTGTGTTTTTTTGTCACTTTCCCCAAACAAAGTTCAAAGGTCACTTTGAAACTTAATAGTTTAGATCAGATTTGGGTAATCTGAAACCCTGGACTGCAGATCTATGCCCAATCTACACTCCAAGACTTTTTCTACAATATACACACTATCAAGATCCTTAAATGTATTTACATCAACAGTAATTTATAATAAGTCCTTATGTCCAGTGAACAAGTCACAAAGCTATAAGAAATAATCTTGAAAATTAATATATTCATTGCATTCACATTTTCTTTAAAATCAACAATTTTTTTTGTGTAGAATTAACATAAAAATTTCAGCCTGATCTCATATTAAAACAATATTGTATGGTTCTTAAATACAGAAAAGTTATATTGATAGATACATATTATTAACTCATGTATTGGTAGACGCAACAAATACTAAACTTTTTTGCTCAAACTGTTACAAATTAGAATAGACTCACTGTCTGGGTGAACTATTAATTTTTCCCAGGGATATCGTGCGCAACCTGTCGACCCTTTTCTTTTTTTATTTTGTTTGTACGCTTCATTTGTATTCATATACACCTCCAATATCCAATAGAGCTAAGTCATCTAGGTTACTTACGTTACTCCTACCCAAGTCTCCCTAGTTGCTAACTGTAACTGATTTAGAACTGGAACGCACTGCACATTATTCTTCACATTGCAAAATGACATATGCATGCATCAGGAACTTCTGTTCAAACAAACCTCACCTGCTGTCCAGGTCAGTGATTTTAAAAAGGTGGCAACACTACCACAGAATTTTTCATTACTTATTCTGTGACGAAGCTGAATTTTAGTCTTTTAAATTGAGATACCTAAGTAAGGGGACGGCAAAATTTTCCTTTGCCCTGGGCGGCTGACACCCACGCTACGTCACTGATGTGAAGAAAGAAAATTGAGACCAATAAAATCACTTATTTCAGGGATAAAACCTTTATAAACTTTAAATTTCAAAAACAAGAATCCATTCTCCCTTTCTCATTTCATTTGTCTTCTGACACAGACTAAGGAAGGAAAAAGGGACATATGTTTGTGTACTTCAACTTCATCTTTGTTCTACTAATCACAATATATGACATCCAACTAGTCTTTCCCTGGCTGTCTGATCTCCATCGGATAACTGACAATAGTGAATTACAGACTGAACTTTTCACATTTTTGCTTTTTGTCTTTGTGAAATTCTTGACCACAATTGTGTAAGCATTACATATTATTCAAATAAATGAACTACTTTGTAAAAGTGACCTGTCTCAGTGTTGACAGTCACATCCATATTACACTTGCATCCCTCATTCATCTTTGTAATACTTCAATTAAACATTCTTTTTTCTCCTCCCCATTGGCATCTCACAGTGACAACAAATACTGTAGATAGGCTAACTATTCATATCTACAGTATTTACTAACAAAGCACTGATCTTGTGAAATGACATTTTGCATCTTACCAATGAGAGACCAATGCTCAGCTTACAAAAAATGAGAGGAATGATCATTACTACATTGACTAATGATAAGTAGCCTTTGAATTGAGGCTAGAAAACATCACTTCGAGTCTGATGAAAAACTGTGGGAGATCATTTTACATTTTGATGAATGCACACTGATTTTGTTTGTCAAACAGTTTTATTTGCAAAAAACAATTTGACTAACAGCAAGTGTGAGTCCTGATTAGAATCTCTTTCGTACAAATACTGGAGACTAAGAATATTCTGATCTTTGTAACACATCAGGTGAAACATAAAATTATGGTTAAAATGAGAGGCTATGTTTAAGTTTCTAATCCTATATGTGAGTAAAGTTAGAAATTAAATTTAATATAATAATTGTTATTCATTATTGAAATTTTTATAATCTATGTAATGTTTCATTAACAACTTCAATCTTGATATAAAAGACAAGGAGAGCTTAAATACCGAAGAAATAAAAATATTAATGTCCAGACATATCTTGTGTTTACTGTTTAATTTTTATACTACATTCTCCCTTATTTCATTCCACACGTAAACAAATTCACCCGAATGAAGCCCATACTGGATACAAGCCTACGAATAGCTACTGGAATATTTAGTCGCAAAATAAATTAGTTTTATTTGAAAGTCACTTTCTCTCCCAAACACAAAGTACTATTTAAATTTGACATTTTGTTAACTATACAGAAGAAATGCGAGTTCAGAAAATGAAAACACTTTCTGAACTCACATTTGAAGAGTCAATCAAAATAAAGCCAGTTGTAATGTTAGTGACTGAAACTAGCAATCATTTTAACTCTGACCTATCCATCATGCAATTATAAATATCACCGATAGTTCCTCCATTGGTGGAAACCTGTCGGACTCCTGACTTACAGGGATTTTTCTCATTTACTTGAAGGCAATATTTAATGTTGTCGTCATGTCAAATAATTACAGATTTTGTCTTGTGTTCTATGCATGTTGAAAACTGTAATGCAAATGACATGGCCAATTATATGAATGGGGTGGAAAGAATGATATTTTTTAATCCCAAAAGATGTAAGTGTGAATAGACTATAGATAAGATATTCTAATACTCAAGTTTACAATTTACACTTGATATCATCTTTTCAAATTTTATTAACATATTTCGAATGTTTAAATAACTCTACTAAAACCTTATTCAGTTCTTTATGTTTTTTTGTTTTTTTTAACACTTTGTACAAATAATCAATAAAAATAATAAAAAATTTGACATATAAATCGAATCACATATTGTATACTTACTTTTATTTTGCTATCACTTGCTTTGGTGACAGTCCAAGTGAATATATTATCATTTATATCTCTTTTATATCTTTGTTTTGATCTGATTTTTATTTTCCATCCACATAAGTTATTATTTATAAATGTGCAGTTTGGTTTTACTGAAAAAATTATTTATGAAACTGATAAGTACATATCAATAATTTAAAAAATTTATTTTACATGAATTAAAATTAAAACACTTTAAAATATTTTAAAAGTAATATCTTTCATTATGAAATACATAAGGTAATCAATAAACAGTGTCAAAATAAACCAATATAACTTGCTTCAATATCAAATAATAAAATACAGTAATACCCCGAACTTACGCGATAGGTGGGACCAAGAGATAACCGTGTAAGTCGAATTCACGTAAGTTGGGGTATAATTTCCCAATTTGTGTAAAATCTAAGTCGGATGTATGTAAGGTAATAAATGTTCTTGTTAATCTAATCTTGTCTTTTGATTCGTTCACGGTTACAAGAAATCACCACATAGAGTCTCTCGAGTCTCTGTAGATATAACAAACATGGAAATAAATAACACAAAATAAATTGTAGCTATGTGTTGATTCCGCGCGACATGTCTGAACATGTAAGTCGAACAATAGTGTGGGTGGAGTGAGTAATCGAGAGTTGCGTGGCGCTCAAACAAAAGACCAATCGATGAGATTTGAAAATTGCGTAACTCCGGGTTCGCGTAAGTCGAGGTATTACTGAATATAAAATACAGAAATATATTTTATTATTTGGATTATTTCTAAAATGAGACATAAATATTTGTTGTAATCCAGATTGTATTCCAACACACAGTTTAACTGTNGCACCGTTCGACGACGGCATTGCTTAAGCTTGTTTTTGTCGTGGAGCGGTGCATCGAACGGCGGGTGGGTGCGTTTCCTGATAAATTATTTTTCTGCAAAAAATTTGCTGAACTTTGGAGACATCATTAATATAAATATAAATTTTATGGCCGTTAAATAATAAATGGTTTTTAGTAGGTCCGCTGCTCGTTTAAACTCAACGGTTTGTGCAATATCTGCTATTCGACCAATCCTGTCGCAACGAGTTGGTGATGACATTTTACCGTATTATACGAGTCTCTTTTAGCGTGTTTATACAAATATGATCGCAATTTTTTTTTCTGTTTTATACGAATCCATATTATACGAACCCGTGTTACAGGGGAGTCTACTGTTTCTGAATATATCTTTTAAATATTTTAAAATTCATACTGATTCTAAAACCAAATTTGAAAACTGAGTTTTAAGTAATCCTTTAAAGTATTTCAGTTATGATCAACTATGTGAATTCTAATTTTTTAAAAAGTATTTATTACAATAATTTGACATTCTAGTTTACTTATGCCTTAAATTAAGATGTTAATTACTCAAAATTTAGTAGAATCACCAATGATGAGTACTGCCAGTGTCAGTTGCCTTGTCTCCTCACTCGTTGAGCTGGCCTTGAGTATTGTATTTATTCTAATAAACAGTATGTTGTTCATAACTTTTTTCAGCTTGCAACTATGCTGTTTATTAGAAGTAACTGTTATTTCTATTCTTTGGAAATTGGGCACAACTATTATTTGAGAATGACTATTAATGGAATAAATGTGGTAAATTTTCTCACTATTATTATTTGAGCTTGTTGCTCAACACACTCAATTTTAATACAGAAATATATTTTATTATTTGGATTATTTCTAAAATGAGACATAAATATTTGTTGTAATCCAGATTGTATTCCAACACACAGTTTAACTGTATGTTGTATCAATATACAGTTAAACTCATTTATAACAATCATGAAGGGACCAAGTGCTGTTATAAGCATTACTCACTATATCCATTTTTAGAGATTAACTGTATATCACTAACAACGGATATTGTTAGTGCTAGTTTTTCATCTGCCCTGTGCAAGATTTTAGTTTTGGCTCTGTCTGTTTTTGGAAAAGTATTTTAAAAACAAATACGATACAAATAGTTGGTTATTTTTAAAATTTAACTATGCACCCATTGCACCTTACTAGTTGTGGTACTGAATTCAAGTAACAGTTAATGATTACATGTAACTTGTATTTTTTATGTACAATACTTCTTTATTTGACTTAACACAATAAAATTTTTAAACACAACAAAGAAACTTTCTAACTTGTTTACTGCCATTTGAAATATTATGACATTCCCTCTTATTCTTAAAAAAATGCCACCTTTTTAAGATTGATTTTTTAATAAAATTTGTAACATTCACTCATTATCTTTTTATAAATGGCACTATTATAATAATAGATTAATGTGAAATAGACAATAAATAAATTATTCTTCTGTTGATTTATATTATCAACAAGACAGGTAAAGTTAGAAATTAAATTTAATATAATAATGAAACTTCTTTATGTGGAATAAAAAGTTTTATTTAATGGCAAACATTTTCAAATCACTTCAATATATCTTAAAATTTAAGTAGTTTAGCAATAAAATTGAACTAATCACTGTACAGTTGTTGCACCTGTAAAATAAACGACTACTTGTTAATGTATATAATTAACTTTATTATAATACGAATGTAACTTGGTGATATTCAAACGTAACTTTGTGCCTCCAGGTCTAAGTGTTACAACACTAATGCACAAATGACCGAAGAAAAATGAACACGAGAAAGGTCAGAGGTGCGGGGTCACCTAACTAGGTCAAGAAGCAATTCGGTATGGGTTATCCCCTGGAGTACATACATAACAACAGTATAATATAGATTAATATGCATGCCAAATATTGTATAGTAGGATGGAGAATTCACTGAGTTTGGCGTTAAATGTTTTTTTATCACAAGTACTTTCAATGAATTTATACTCGTTGTCGTGTTCGAAAATTAGTCGCTTGTTCTTAGCGGTTTATCAAATATTTTAATTTGAAAATATGTGTTCTGTTCTTCTTCTCAGTATATTCTGTATGTTCTTTTAAAGCATTTATTCACTTGACAATGACAATTATAAATTCGTCGAAAGTACTTGCGATAAAAAAGCATTTATAATGCTGAACTCGGTGAATTCTCCGTCCTACTGTACAATAGTCTACTTCATTATTTTAGTAATTAAACAAAGATTGTATGGTTGAATTTCAATGACACAGGCTAGAAAATGATTGAAATAATCCAAAAACATTATTCTGAGCAAAGTTTAGCAAAATATATAAAATTTGCTCAGAATGAAATTATTAAATAATACAGTAGAGCGTTGTTTATCCAAAAGAATTCCAGTCGGCCTAAAGTATAATTTTTATTTGTTTTTATATTTTTCAATGTATTTATCTCGTTTGTAAAACATAAAGAAATAATTTTTAACGATACAATAGCCATGATTATTATTTTAAAAAGTTTACATTAGGCTTAACATCGACAAAAATTCAACGCAAAGCGATACGCAACAGAGAAAAATTTCAGGATGGGATAGGTTAATATATTTTTTCGTACATAATCAGTTATCTGAAAAGTAAGTTATCCGAACAACCCCAATCGATTCGGATAAACAACGTTCTACTGTAATAATAATAATAATAATAATAATTTCAGTTAAATATTATTTATCAATTTTTTAAACTATTATAATTAATCTAACAAAATAAACACCAAAACAATAAACAAGAAAGTGATAAATCTCCATAACAATATAAAAAATTTAAGACATATTTTTTTCTACAGAAAAGTAATTAAATTTTATATGAAACGTGATAAAGAAGCTTACCACACTCATTTTCATCACTTCCGTCACTACAGTCTACTCTAAAATCACATTTTCTTTGTTCACTGATACAATATTTATCAGCCAAGCAATACCAATAGCCTTGTGGGCATTCTCCTGGTCTTAATGTTGTTTTTATTCCTGAAGGAGTAGTCTCAGTCCAGCCCGAAAGTGACGTTCTTGAAGTAATTCTGAAAAATTAAAAATTTTCATTTTATATTCAATGATACAAAATTATAAAAGATTATTAACTGTAATATATTCTATAACAAAAGAAAAAAACACAAACAAAACCGTTTTTTTTTTTTTTTTATCGGTGTTGTGCCAAATACAACACTGATAAAAAAAAGGTTTTGTTTGTGGACGTTTATTAATACAGTAATACCCTGAACTTACACGATAGGTGGGACCGAGCGATAACCGCATAAGTCAAATTCGCATAAGTCGGGGTATAATTTTACAATTTGTATAAAATCCAAGTCGGATGTATGTAAGCTAATAAATGTTCTCGCTAATCTTATTTCATCTTTTGATTCGTTCACGGTTACAAGAAATCACCACATAGAGTCTCTCAAGTCTCCGTAGATATAACAAACGCAGAAATAAATAACACAAAATAAATTGTAGCTATGTGTCAATTCCGCATGACACGTCCAAACATGTAAGCTGAACAATAGTGTGGGGGAGTGAGTAATCAAGAGTTGCGTGGCACTTAAACAAAAGACGAATCAACGAGATTTGAAAATCGCGTAACTCCAGGTTCGCATAAGTCGGGGTAGCGTAAGTCGAGGTATTACTGTATTAAATTCATTAATATTTCAAGCAAAATCATATTAAGAATTATATATGCCAAGACGTTTACAAGTATTACTATGAAGTATTGAAATTTTCATGACGATAATTATATAAAGTACATAGAGATTGTATCATATATACCAATGTTTCCCAAAATACCGGGCCCACAGCTCAGTACTGGTTTATATTTGAGATAGATCATCTCCAATTGGGAAAGATCATTCTTACAGATGATAAAACCAAACAAGAATCTACATGCCATATTTGCAAGAGGGATAAAATCCCATAGCAGAAAAGATCAATATTTGAAGAATTATTGACAGAATAGTTTTTAGTCAGTTCTAATTTATTCAAATTTCAAATATTAATCTATTTTCAAAATGCAATTATTTTAATTTTATGATCTCAAATTAACTTTTATGGTATGATAATAATCCCTATTTTCAATGTTACATTCATATAATTAATTAGTTAATTAATTTTTTTAGCAGTGTACAATACAATTAAGTCAAAAAATCTGTTAATTTTAGATTATTATTTAATTTAATTAAATTGGACATTTATTTTAGTATATTGATTTGAAGGAAACAAAGAAGATAAATATTTTCAATATAAATAATAAAAAAATAACGATTAATTTATAGTATAGGTTTAAAGCATTTTGGACTAAACTTTACATTGAATGAACTTCCTTAACAAATGTATAATTGTGGAAAGTGTGGTTGTATTGAATAGCCATGAAGATGATAATAAAATACAATTAAGACAGTACATAATTAAAACAACAATTGATTTAATAAGAAATGATAACACAATGCGCAAAAGAAAAATAATTCGAATGCCAACACTAGGGCTCAGCCCAAAAAAGAGACCTGACACATGGACTCACGACAAAACAAAAAGATGTCTTACAATTTCATTAAATTGGCATCTTGTCAGTTAATCGTTGTCTTCATCAACAATTAACTTAAGCTTCAAGATTCTTGTTGCACGAAGTCTTCAAGAAATTCTTCAGTCCCTTGCTATGGTCAGGATCGAACTTTCCTTCTCGGTCCAAAAACAGTTACCTCTCCCCTTTAGGCCCTTAGGCATTTTCTCTCCCCACGGGACAGTTCAGAACATCAAACATCAACCGAGCGAAGTAGAAATGAGGACAAGAGAAGATTCCAGAAACGGGAAAAAACAAGAAACAAGAACAGAAGCTACAAACTAGAATATTCTAACTTAAAATGATGATGTACAGCCACATAATTAACCTAATAATAATGAATATTTTCCCTAGTTTAATTTTAATAATAAAATTTACTTACTCACAGTCTCCTCTTAGAGATATATCATCAAGAGCAATTACATCTTCATATCTGTCACCAGTTTTTCCTTCAATAACAATTTGAAAAGGAGAAGTAACATTCAGTTGAATAGATGATCGTTTCCAATAATCACCTCTTGATCCTTTCTCAAACCAAACAGGTTTGGAATATCTGTTATTCAATGTCCTGATATAAACTTTCAAATCACTTACTAATTTACCAAACATATAATAATAAAATCTTAAAGAACACATTCCATTTCGAGTTATTTCTAACACATCAGATATCAAACGTGCTATTTTATTCGGTGATGATGTTTCGCTTGTAATAAAAATATAATTTCCTTTGTCTAAGAAATAAGTGTGATCAAACGGGGGCCCAGTTTTATATTTAAGACGATTTTTATAAACTCCATTGCCAAAATCCCAGTCAATGTCGTCGTTTTTATCTTGGTAAAAGAATTTCAGGCCCTCTTCAAATGAGATTAGGAAATCTTGATAACATCCATTTTCATCTGATCCATCACCACAATCATCTGATAGATCACATACTAAATCTCTGTCAATACATGCTTTACTTTTTCGACAATAGAATTTAGAAACGGGGCAATTCTTTTCCTCTTTTGGATATGAACAATTTTCAAATTTTATATTATCTAATGCAAATATTTCATTTGTACTATACACACTAACTCTACTGAATGATAAACTAAATGGCTCCATTCTTCCTCCTATTCCAATGATTTCATTTATCCATCTACCTGAAAGAGTTGGATCAGCATTCTCCCAAATTATCTCTTCAATATCTACACTAGATATTTTTAAACCGAATGAATTTGCGTTTCCAACAAAATACAACCAAAAGTTTATTACGCAAGTTCCTGCTGATATTGAAAATTCTGGACTCATGATACCTTTACCAGGAGTCCATCTATCTTGACATGACTTGCAACACATTAATAAATATTTGCTATCTGTAGAATTCAGGTAATCTTCAGTTGGTTCGTCACCTAAGCATCCATTATTCTTAAATGTTGTAATATTCCAAAAAACATCATCTGGTTTCTCTTTGGAAATAGTCCAACCGCACAATGAATTATCTTCAAAGTCGCATTTAGAAGGACACATTCTTTCATCGGCACCATACGGGCAATCTTTTTTAAAATCACACGCTTTGCTTATAGGAATACAAGATTTGTCATCGCAAGTAAATTCGTTTATACCACATCTGCCAGGTGGTTGGACAGTGATAACAGGTGTAGTAACAACTGTATATAATGGAGTACATTCGGGTGTAAAAGAAATATCATCAATTGCAATATCACCACGTGGTCCATCTCCTTGTCTACCCTCAATTATTACTTTAAAATTAAGTTTAAAAGAAATAACTACACTTAGTCGTTTCCATTCATCACCTTGTTCACCTGACACATTTGTTAATTTATTCAATTTTGTACCTTCATCTGCTCGAATATATAAAGTTAAAGTACTTATGTCTTCACCATACATATGGTACCATAATCGAATCTGACAACCTTTAGTACTAGTTGGTAAAAACGTTGTACTAGAAATCGAAGCTGTACGTCTTATTGCTTGAGATATGGAAGATATATATAAATAATGACCGGATGCATTTCCATATGTATGATCTCTTTCTGGACCTGTTCCTTCAGATAATGTTCTTCCTGAAAACCAAGTCCATTGAAATAATCCACTTTCATGATTCCAATGACAAAGTCCATTTTCAAAATCGCATCTTTCTGGATAATCAACGCAATTTATTTCATCTGAACCATCGCCACAATCCCTATTAAAATCACATTTATTATCATTTAATATGCAACCTCCATCTTGACATTTAAATTCACCTTCTTTGCAAACACTACTTTCTGGTACTCCACAATTAACGAATGATATTTCATCAATAGCTATATCTCCTCCACTTCGCAGGTGAGTTGCAATAAAACTTAAATACCAATTACTATCCTGGCTACCGACAGACACTCTAAATTTATTCCATTGCTTTCCTTTATCGCGATTTTCTTTCCACAAATCAATAGTTTTACTATGGGTTAAACTGAGACGAAGAGAACCCTGACCCTCAAAAACGTTATAAAAATAATAATAAAATTCTATAGAACATGATCCTGATGCAAAAGGAAATGTTGGTGACTGTAATTTTGCTTGACCACTACCTCTTCTTGAAACATACATAAAATAGCCATTAAGAGATACATCATTAGATATTCCATAACCTTGATTTCCATTTTGACGAAGCCATTTATAACTTCCTAAACTTTTTTCTTTCCAACCACACATAGGATTATTATCATCATCAAATGTACATGTTCCACATTTACTTTCATCTGAAGAATCTTTACATTGGGGAATAAAATCACACAAAAATGCTATATCAATACATTCACCGTTATCACAAGCAAATTCTTTGTATTTGTCACATGGTTCAGGTTTTATAACTTCTGTCGGTTTTAATGTTGGGAGTGTTTCATTGATTTTACTACACCCTGAAGAAAACGATAAATCATCAATAATCCATGCACCATCATCTGTTCCACTTACACCTTCTAAAATTACTTCAAAAGCATCACTAATATGACTGAGATCAATTATGGCTTTTTCATAATACTGTCCAAATATTGTCGATGTTGTCCACTCTATATTCCAGGATCCTTCTTGATCTTGTCGAGTATAAACTGTCAATGGTCCTTGACCTCGATAATCATCATATTTTAGGTGCGTAAAAGTCCTGGCATAAGTGTAGAAAAAACGGAATTTACATTCATTTCCCGATTTAATCATAATTGGACTTCTTAACTGTGCTTCTGCTCCTTCAACACCGCGTGCATAAAAGTAAATATATTTTCCATAAACAGAATTTAAAGTATGATCTCTACCCACATTTGAAATAAGATAATTATATGAAGGGCCAATTTTCCATGTAAACTGAGTGGTTTCTGTATGTACTATCCAATCACACATATCACCATTGTCAAAATGACATCGTGCTGGAAAATCATCACAATTAGCAGTTTTAAGATTTTCATCAGAATAATCACCACAATCATCATTATAATCACACAATAAATCATTACTAATGCAATTTCCTCGAAGGCACTGAAATGCCTCATTGTCACAAGAAGTAATTTCGGGACGAGCACAATCGAAAAACTCTAAGTCGTCAATAGCTAAACCTCCTACATAATATCGCTGACTACCAGAAAAATACACCATAAAATCTCCACCAATTCTTCCAATTACAGCCTCTCCCTGATGCCATATATCACTTTGATTACCTCTTATATTAAACACTTCAGTAAATTTCTGATGTGTTTTTTGTTTTATTAGAACACTTAAGGCAGCTCTAGAATCTGATAGCATATAAAACCAGAAATTAAGTCTACATGTTGCCGATGAAAATCTTAAAGTAGGACTTTTGAAATAAGAAGAAGAATAATAATTATTGTACATTGAGTTTACTGAAACATAATAACCTTTATCAGGTGACAAATGCGTGTGATCAATGAATGGAGGGTATCGTGAATATCTTGCTTCTATTCTCTTCCAAGTCACATAACCTGGTTCTGTTTCCCAATTACAAAGACTCTTTTCAAAATCACATTCGGTTCCGCATAACGCTTCGTCTTTATTGTCTTTACAGTTTTGATAGAAATCACACATTTCATCACCAGAAAATCTAACAGCTTCATTATCACAAGAAAATTCAGGAGGATCAGGATTATATTTTTTACAAGCATTTTCAGACAAAACAAAATCATCTAAAGCAACAAACTGTTGAAGTGAAGCAGTAAAAGAAACTTCAAATATTAATCTGAATTTTCCTTTTAATATTGAGGTGTCATTTATATAACCTTGACCATATTGCCATTTATCACCAGGTTCCAAGGTCCAGTGATTTAATATGTGGTTTGTATTGTCTGCCTTGGAATATTCTGTCAAATTAAGAGCTGGAAGTACGGTTCCTGTTCTATAAAACCAGTAGCTAAAACAATATTGTTTTTTTGAAGTTAAGAAAGGTGATAATAATCGTGCAGATAAGGTTTGTTTATACTGATTATTGTAATATGCGTACAGATAAACTCCAAATTGTGTTTGGAAAGTATGATCTATATTTGTACCTTTATTAAATATTTCTCCAGAACCTCTGAGCCATTCAAATGAAACAGAAGGATCATTCATCCACAAGCAAGTATCTTCCTCAAAATTACAGTCACCTAAAGGCTCACAATTTTCTAATATTTGAATATCATCAATAGCAATTGTACCATTGTTTGGAGACTTTCCTGTTACAGCTTGAAACACGTATTTGAATGGTTCAGAAGAGGTAGGTTCAAAGCTTACTTGTGCTGCATGCCATTCATCTCCTTCATCACCTTCTTCATTCCATAATGGTTTAATAGTATTACTATATTTAATAAGTACCATTAATGTACCAACATTGCTACCCATTAGATGATACCAGAATCTCAGGCAATTTTTTTCAGGAGAATATACACCAGTTTCTAATTTCGCAACCATATTAGATTTCATCTGTTCAGTAGTATTGATATAGAAATATGAACCAAGTTCAGTACCATATGTATGATCTACTTTTGGACCTTTTGGATATGATAATTTTGCTTGACCAACAGCCCAATTAAACTCATCTTCAATAGAATTATGGAATCCGCATCCACCATTTTCTACTGTACATAATACTTCCGACGGACAGTTACCATAATTAAATTTAATATCATCTAAAGCTACGTCACTATACAATGTTGCTTGACCTTCAAACATAAGAAAAAAGGATCCTATATCATTTATATGCACCTGTTGATAATTCCATGTTGGCCCTGATGAAGCTGATTTAGTCCAATAACTTGTAACATTATTAGAGTTACCTTCCTTTAATAAAAATGTCAAAGATTTTTTGTCACTTCCATAAATATAATACCAAAATCGGATACAGGCTCCATCGGAAGTTATTTCTAAAGTATTTTTCGTAACAAGACCAACTATACTTCTACGATATTTAGAATTATGATCTACTACTATGTAATGTCCTTGAGTTGACTTAGTAGTATGATCTGTTCTTGGAAGAGTTGATTTTATATCAGAATGACCAGTTTTTATTTCCCATTTGTAATAACTATCTTTAGGATTTTCCCATTGGCATAAATCAATTTCAAAATCACAATCAAGATTTGAGGGTTTCATTGTAGTTATAGGTGTAAAAGTTGTTGAAATTGTTGTAACTATTGTCCCACATTTATGCTCTGAAAAAACAATATCATCAATTGCTATGCCTCTATCAATTTTGTCTTGAGCTATATATGTAACAGCTGACATTCCTATAATGAAAAAGTTATCAATTTCTTCTGTACTTATATCAATTTCTGTATAATTCCAATTGTTGGTAGTATCTGATATGTTATAAACAGAGTCCCAACCTGTGCTTGGTGAATACGTCTCTATATTTAATGAACTAGCTTTAGTGTTGAACATATAATACCAGAAACTAAAACAAAAACTGCCTTTTAATTCAATATCTTCACTTATTAAACGTGAATATATATTCTCTTCTTGATCTGTAAGATATGCATACATGTAATGACCTTGAACAGAAGTAACTGAATGATCCTTTATTGGACCTGCTCCAAAATTTGTATCGAGACCTGTACGACGAATCCAATCAATATTAGAAACATCTGTGTCAACTGACCAACCACAAGTATCTTTTTCAAAATTACATGAGACTACATTTGAACATTCATTATCTGTAAGTTTTATATCATCAATTGCAATATAACCTTTTTTACCATTTCCTCTTCTTGCTTCAATAACAATGTAATATCTGTCTAAAGCTTCAAGCGTAACTTGTCCCTTTCTCCAATGATGCATGTGATCTCCTACTTTACTAAATATAGGAATTTCATTTTTCAAGCGAATTTCAGAATCAGTGCGTTGATAAATTCCAAGAGTCCCAATGTCGTAACCAAACATATTATACCACAGTTCTATACAAGATTCTCCTATATTATTATAATAAGGAGACACTAGTTTACTACGCTCACCAAAACTAGCATTTGACATATAAATGAATTTTCCATTAACTGTATTTCTAGTATGATCTGTTTCTGGTTTCTCTTCATTAAATGGCTTCTCTCCAGTGCTTCTTATCCAGTCTACCGTATTATTAAATTTATATTTCCAGCCACAGAAATCTTGTTCAAAATCACATAATGTTGTTTGATGACAAGGACTATCTATCAATTTTACATCGTCAACAGCAATATCTCCTTGACCGCCTCTTCTTGTCTTACCAGTTATATATATATTATAATCTTCAGTTGTATTAATAGGTATTTCTGCACTCATCCATTTATTACCTTGATTACGTGTTTTTTCCCAGCCTGTATAACGTTCTGTTAAAGTTTCAATATTTATAGATAAAGTTCCAATATGTTTTCCATACATATGATACCAAAATGAAAAGCAAGCGCCTTCAGGTGAAGAAGCAGCCAATAGAGGACTTTTTAATCGTGCAATTTTATTTCTTCCTCTTCCGAATTGATCTAAATATATGTAATGACCTGTTCCAGTTGTATGATCAGTTGTTGGACCAGTAAAATTAGCAAATGTTGTACTGTTATGTCTTAACCAATTAAAATCAGCTTTTTTATCATGTTTCCAAAAACAAAAATCTGTATCAAAATTACAGTCTGCAATTAGTACTTTAGGATTACAATTCAATAAACTAATGTCATCTATGAAAAGAGTATTGTTAAATATTTGTTTATTTCTTCTATTAAACTTATATGGTTGTGCTATTATTTGAATAGAAGTTGTATTACGATTTTCTGGAATCTTTGATACAAATTCTGTCCATTTATTATCAAGGAGATTAAATTCTGATTTTACGATAGCGTAACGTAAACGGCTTATTCTACGTTTTAGACTTAACTGAAATCTTATATTTTTACGCTTGTAATACCAAAACTTTATTTCACAATGAGACGAGATTGATGGTAAATCAGGACTCTGAAGGATTGCTTTATTATCAAAAATTCCATCTCCTACAATAAAATTAGCAACGTAACCATTATCAGATAACTGATTTGTATGATCGGTTACATTTGGTTCAATGCCAGGTACTTTGGATACTTGTTGTCTTGCCCATCTGAATGCACTTCCTTCATCTGTCCACAAGCACATGTCTTTTTCAAAGTTGCATGGACCGCAGTTTTCTTCATCAGAACCATCATCACAATCTATAAGAAGATCACATTTTTTATCTTTAGTTATACAAACAACAGAACCAGTGATACATTTAAATTCATTTTCCCTGCAAGGATATACAGTTGGCCTTGGTGTTGGCTTTGGAGTCGGAAGAGACTCGTTATAATATATACAACCTGGTGTAATACTTATATCATCAATTGCTATTTCTGATCCGGCATTACCAATGTCACCTTCAAGTATAAAATGAAAAGGTCTATTATCTGTAATTGAGACTTCTGCACGCTCCCAAACTTGTCCCACATTTTCATGTTTTTGCCATAATGGTTTCCATGACCATCCATTTTCTTCATATTCTGAATATAAACTCAATTTAAATCCTTCTCCAAATAAATAGTAATAAAATCGAAGAGAACAAACACTATCTTTTTTCACGATATAATTAGGACTTACATGCCAAGCCTTTATTATATCTGATGAATAAGAGTAAATAGAACGTAACATAAGATAACGACCTTTTCCATCAAGTTGTTCCGTATGGTCATTCATTGGTCCAATATTAGCAGTTAGTCTGTAATTCCTAGAGTACACAACTTCCCATTTATATTTACTATCAGGCTTTGGTTTCCATTCACAGAGACTTCCAAATTCAAAAGTGCAGTTTGAATATTTAGCGCACACTTCTTCCGATTCGTCGTAATTATCTCCACAATCATCAGTAAAATCACAGAATACATCCTCAGATACACAGGCTAAACTTTTTGGGCATCTAATTTCTCCATCTTCACATTCATCTGCTTTTTCTGGGAAACCACAATCTTTAAAATTAATATCATCAATTGCAATATAACATGTTCCATATGAATATCCACCAGATATTTTAATTAGAAATTCTTTTTTTGTACTGCCAATATAAGCTATTCCTTCATTCCAACTATTTCCTTGATCATTTTGAATTAACCAATTTGTACTTTCACTATTTCCAATAGATTTTTTTATTTTAATATTTGCTGTAGAACATTTTGAAAGATAATACCAAAATGTCATTTTACAAGTGGATCCAGATCTTTTAAAACTGCGTTCATTTCCTGGACTAATAAGTAATGAAGTATATCCTCTAGATAAATATGCATACCATCCAGAAGATGAATTAGTTGTTGTATCGACAGTAGGAAATCCACCGTAAAATGATGTCGATGACGACGACGAACCATTCTTTCTTTCCCATCCTGAATTATAATTGAAATAATTATCAACTGTCCAGCCACAAAATCCGTGTTCAAAGTCACAATTACCGCAGTTCATCTCATCTTCTTTAGAGATTTTGCAATCTATTTCGAAATCACATACTTTATCTATATCTATGGACGTATTAACTTCATGACAATCAAATTTATTATCTTGAACATCACTACACGATTCATTTTTTATGGAAATATCATCAATAGCAATATCGCTTAAGTTTCCTTTCGTAGTTCCAATAAATAGTATTTGATATCCATCATCAATTCCTAATTTATTTTTATTTAAATTCAAATGTATAGCTTTCCATTCATTTTCCTGATTTCCTTCGCGATAAAAAAGCTTGTTACTTGTAATTTTATCCGTTTTACTGTCTAGGGAAGTAATATTCACTTGTAAAGAACCCATATCATCTCCATACATGTGAAACCAAAATGATAAACACTGATTTCTTGTCATCTCGAAATATTCGGATTCAAGAATTCCTACCAAATTTCTTTTTCCCGCTGGATTGGATGCTTTAATATAGATGTAATAACCTATTTAAAAAAGAAATTAATTTTAAATTATTAATATTTTCATTATATTTAATTTGTATATATAAATTCAGTTTAAATTAAACTAAATAATGTGTAAAATTATATATGTACTAAAATTATGAAAAAAATCTGATACATTTAGCTTGTTATAATCAACCAATTGTTCATCCACGTAACATGTAACATATAAATTATATGCATTACAAATGAAGCATACTTGATGCAAATTAGTTTAACGTAATTGTTTGTAATTTTAATCAATGTTATAAAAGAAATATCTGAAACAATAAATAATTATACCTAACCTCATAATTATATGATAGATGATTATTAGAAATAACTGTGCAAATTAAGAATTCATAAAAGAGAACATGTTTATCGTGTAAGTACATATTTCAAAACATTAAATTGCCAGTGATGGCACATAAAATTTATGTTACATTGTATAGTACATTGTGAATAAACTATGGGAACTCTGGAGTATTTAGTTATTCCATGACAATTTTATTTATAATGAAAACATTGCAGATAACATATAAGCAACTACAACAAATTATAAAGTCATGCAAAATCCCAATCTTTTTAAGTTAAAAAATTGTCAAATTTTATTGTATAAGAGCTATTTTCTTAACTGAGAGCCTTATAAATTGAAATTTCTCAGTTTTTTTTGGAGTTTCAGAATTCCGACAGGGTCAAAATCCCCCGACAAACCAAAATCTTCTCAGATGAAAATCTGACATGCTATAAAATCAGTGATGATCAAATTTGTACAAACACATTGTTATTCAAAGATGATACTGCTAGTTTTATAATGATCTATTTCTTGAAGAATAAATCTGAAATCTTATCCAAATTCAAAGAATACTGTGAATTGGTCAAAAAGCAAACAGGTAAAGCAGTAAAGGTGTTATGCTTTGACAATGAAGGAAAATATCTTTCAGCTGACTTTCAAAATTATCTCGAGGTAAAAGGTATAATTCATCAAAAGACAGCTTCTTACATACTCCAACAGAATGGAACATACCACTTCTGTAATAATGTTACGTGTTAAAAAAGACAAAACTAAACTAAAATTCCAAAGATCAAACCTATATTATCTAGTTCCAGTGCATAGCATTTTATCTGCTTGGCTATCCCCGCTCGAAGATGTGAAACTTTCAAAGATTTATAAGTAAAACACTAAATTTTCAGATGTCCATTTTTGGGAAATACTTGAGAAATGGGTCCTATTATTTGGACAAGGAGCTGTTAGTGTTTAAGACCACGTGCTCACCAAGTTTCGTTCAAATCGGAGATCCAAATGTCTGGCCCTCTCCTTATTAGCAATAGGAATAATTTTTGAATGAATAATTCCAAATAACAATGTTTAAACAGTACTTCACAGGTTCTGCCATGTCAAGATTTTTGTTTTAGTCTACTGAAAAAAGACCAAAGCGAAAAAAAAAAATCATCCCAAAAAATTTCCCGAATTTTTTGTTGGTCAATAAAAAAAAAAAAATCCTCCAATCTGGAAACATTGGGGCAGCAATGCTCAAAACTGTCTTAAGTTCTCAACACCACTTCATACTTTTCTGCCCAAACTTGCTGCATGATGTCATGAAATTGCTAGGTGTGTGGTGGACCACAGGTCTCTCATTGCATTGTTTTTCCTGAAGTGTGATTTGTGACTCACTATCATCAGTATTATATTTTTATCGCCAATTTAATCGCCAAGTGGTGATTTTGGCACATGAAGCACAACCCCTGTCTACATGAGCATGCTCTTATATTTACGGAAATATGATATAAATTTAAACACGTACAAGACACCTACACCAGAATACCTCAAATTTCTACTAACATTTTCATTTGTATATAACAGACATCTTCAGGTATATATAATGCAGAACAAAACAGACAAATCAAAATCGAACAAGGTATTATGAACACATTACAAATTCAGTTTGAAATTATGATATGTATAAAATATTATTTTTTTGTATTTCATAATGATTTTAATTATAATGTAAAAATTTATGTATTTTGATTATATTTGTTAATTTCATTTATGTTTGAATTGTTTATACCTGAAGAAGTTTTCAATATGAGGCAAAAATGTTTTATATTAATATAGTGTTTTTCTGTAATTTTAAATGCATTTCACACTAGTTTTGTGCATTTATTTTATTTTATTAATAATTATTAATATTACGCTTAATTATTTATGAATTACATAGATTTAAACGTGTCTAATTGACAAAATGTATTAATTATTTACCTTTTTCATCTCCTCGTGTATGATCTGTAACAGGTCCAGTACCTTCAGTTGCCGTAGATCCTCTGTTACGTATCCATTGTACATCTGTACCTTCTTGTACATTTTGCCAAGTACATAAATCATATTCAAAATCACAGTTGCCTTGTGGAGGACATTTTTCATTTTTAATAATGACATCATCTAATGCTATATCACCACTATTGAGTTTTTTAGTAACAGCTTCAAAAACAATCTAGTAAATAAAAATATTTAATCTAATTATTAAAATATTTTAAATTGTTGATGTTATTTAGATACATTAGTTAATGCAATAACTTTCAAATACTCTTTCACAAAACTGGCAATACAGCGGGCGATCGGTTAACGAACATAATCTGTTCCAGGACTTTGTTCGTTAACCGAACTAATCGGATAATGTTCGTTAACAGATCACCCACTGTACAATATTTCTAAGTTACCAGATAATTTCACTAGATTATATTGTCAGTTATCTATTTTGAACATTTTTTTTCAAAATAATAGAAGGCAACAGGTGATACAGATAATAAATACTGTATATCATTAGATTGTTTGTCAGGTATAAAGACATTTTATGCTAGTATCATGCTTTTAAAATGACAATCTAACAGTTTTATTTTATACTATTTTTTTTTTAACTCTTTCCACCCTGCGGGCACCAAGAGAGCCTTTTCTAGCAAGCCCATTATGGGTTTGGCCAGGCCCACAATGGGGTGGCCGGGTGGTGAGAAACACGGCCAGACCACCCACCAAAAAATCCCCAGGAATTTTTTGACCCGTGTGCCCACAGGACGGAAAGAGCAAAAAAAAAGTACTATTATTAGCATTTTGTTTTTATTCAATTCCAATAAGCTTTGTCTTGGAATTTAGCAATTTTAAAATGAAAAATTATCCTTAAATTAATTTGAATGTATTAGTAACGTATCATTATATTAAATACAATAAATGAGAGCGTATTCCAAATTATATTTTAATTTGCAAAAATATATCTATAATAATAAAACTGTAATAGTCTAAAAATATCAATTAAAATTAATTTTAAATTTTCGTTATGTTCATTTACTAGTAACAATATGATGAACAACTATAGCCCAATATAAGATTTCTAATCAGATAAATTATAAAGTTACTTTCACAAATGTAACAAAATTTTTTCTTACTTCATGTCCATTAGCTGACAGAGCAGAAACTTGAGCAATTCTCCATTTGCCTCCATGGTTTCCTTTTATAACCCATTTAGGAGTATCTATAATTCCATCTTTTGGCTTTATATATAAATTTAATCCACCGATATCAGAACCATGTACAAAGTACCAAAACTGAATGCAGAAATCTTCATTTCCTGACTGTGGTAAAGGAGGAGTTATCAAATACGCAGAATTCCCAAATGGTCTCCGACCTTTCTGAGATGATTTCACAATCATGAAATGACCTTTAAAAAATTAAAAAAAAAATAATAATAATAATTTTAGGCTCTAGTATAAAATTACACAAACTATTTTAGCACATTTGAAAAGTACTGATTTAGGCATTTTTCTAGTCAGATATATAATAAACATATTGTATTATGCCATGCCTTTGAGAATTGGTTTTTGCATGGTAGGTTATGTATGACCCGGCATTATAACAGCCAATGCAGGTGCATATTTTTAGAAATTTAAAATTTTTAAAAGTAAATTTGAAAATAGAAGCATTCAAAATTAGAACGCATTGGAAACTAAACAGAACACTAATCACACCAGAAAAATTTTTTCTAGAACGCCACCTGAAGAAGATCCTAGGGTGGACTGAAAACGTTTGTGTTACGTTCCAAAATAACTGTAAAGCATTATAAGATTACCTTGCTTAATGAATGCAATTCATTCCAGAATCTTACTCAATGCAAAATACTCATTAAGTGAAACAATTTTTTCCATATAAGTGAAACAATTTTTTCCATATTTTACCATATAATGTTTTACCAAAACATTATGGTAAAACATTATTGTGTTTTACCATAATGTAAAACACAATAATGCATTCCACGTCTAAAAAAATACTCAGATATTTTATGTATGATGTTTATTCAAAGAAAATTATACAATATATATTGTTAAGAAGCATGAATCATCATCATCATCCTTTCTTGTAGCACGGAATGCAAATTTGATTTGCAGAAAACAAAAAAAAAAAAAAAATCACAGATAATATGTCTGATAAACACACCAAACGATATGCCAAATACTTGGGCTATGTAAAGCTATAATTAAATATTAGAAATTAGATAATTTGACTAGAGGTAGGCAGTTATGCTGCCATCTCATATTAAATTTAATAATTTGCCCACCAGTGGCCAAGCGATTTTGTTCCCTGAACACTGGGAGCTCAATCATGGGTTCACGCCTGGCCAGGATGGACTGGCCATGTGGAGTTTTCTGGGTTTTCTCCACGTCTGTAACACCTGAATAGGGCCAGTTACCCTTAAAAAGGCCTCCCGGAAGGCATCCCCCCTAGGCAGATTGCCCAAGTGTTGCATTGCCATAACTTAAACAAACAAACAAATTTAATAATTATAAATAATTAATTTTTAATTTAGACATTTCTAAAATTTAATTTGGAATTGGTCATTAAATTTAATACAAGATGGCAGCATAACTACCTACCTTTGGTCAAATTAATTAATTTCTAATATTTTAATTATAGCCTTTACATAGCCCAAAAATTTAGCGTATCGTTTGGCGTGTTTATTATATAACGGGCTATGGTTGTTAATGTTTATATGTAATATATGTGAACACAAGTTTGAAAAATGTGTGGTCACAAGCGACACTAAGATGCTAGCAGAACGAGTGCTAAACACAGACTGATTGAGCATGCGCAGTCTGGAACTTCTCCTCTCCTCATCACTTGTTAAGTAAGTCATTTTTTTACAATTTGTTTTGCTTGTTATGTGAGGTTCTACTGTATGGTGTATTTACAATTAATGCTTTGTTTATCTGATGGTTTTTAAAAAAAAGACTATGATCAGAATTTATCTTGCAAGGCAGCAAAGAATTTTTACCACATAGCTAACAAAAAACATCAAGAAATTCATACTATGTATACTCAGTAGAGAGAGAATACAACCTTATTACAACATTTGCTTAGGTGTTATAATAAGTAACATTGAAAAAACTTACAAGTTTTAGTAACAGTTTTAATAAACATAAACCTGCATCAATCCAATAGATTTTATAACCATTTCAAGGTAATGAATAACAGTGTTAAATAAATAAATAAATAAATAATAATAATAATATATTAAATAAAATATAAAATTGTTTATGCTTTTATAACAATAAAATCAAAATATAAACAAATAGCAATATTATTAAGCTTAATATGTTACATGAATACTAACTTGCGATTATTGTACAGTAAGTTAATAAATTCGTTGAAAATTAATTTAGTTATAACTTACTTTCAATTATTTAACAACAAAAATCAAAAGAGTTCTTGAAATCCAAAGGATTTAATAACAGACGCAACTGATTTTTATCTGATATTAATGATTAAATACTAATGTTGTATATTCAGTAAGTTCTTAATAATTAAATAAATAACTATTAAATATTTAAATTTTCTTATACAAACCATCATTTGAGCCAAATGTATGATCAAATTCTGGACCCAGTTTTGGATCTGATGCCGATCCATTTATTCTTTCCCAAGCGATATAGTCAGGTGATTCCATTGAATAACCACAGAGGTCTTCATTTTCAAAATCACAAAGTGTATTTACTATGGAATTAGAAAATGTTTAGCATCTTAAAGAAATTTAATATAAATCAGAAAATTTATGGTAATTATTAAATATCAAAAATAGTTTTAAAAACATTATTTTTTTCATGACAAATTGTTTTGATTTTCCTCTTTACATTCAAAAATCAAGTTCAAATGCATGTATCTCTTGTACGACACGGTTTCGCTCTATCACTGTTCAAGAATTTGGGAAATCCTCCATACAAAATTTCACAACTTTTAAGTGCAAATTTTCTTATTCAATATTTTTTTTTATTTAAGTATGCATGTCTATTACCTCAAATTTGCCCAAAAATTTTAAAATATTGAAATTTTCAATTTGTTTCATGCCTTTTATCAGGTTTAATGATACAATTTTCAATAACAGTGCAATTTTCTTTCTTTCTTGTCCTAGATTTCCTATCAACCAGTATTTCCGTCGTTGCTTTCAGACTTCAACCTTTAAGAGTGTCATTATGTTTTGTTTTTATAAATTAATTTTCATATTTAGTAAAGTTTATTTAAACATTTTAGGTAAGTGTTTTTAACCTTTTCTGAACCATATGTTAGTAATCATTCATCAAAACGATGAATAAAATACAGCGGTATCTCGGTACTCAAACTATTCCCAACTCCGACAATTCAGTATGTGAACTCAAATTCTGGAAAAAATCGCTCAGTACTTGACTGAACAAATGTGACCTGCTAGAACACAATTCTGATTAATAACATATTTGTATTTTGTCACCCATAAAAAATTTTTTATGATAAAAATACAAAAATGACGATGATGCTGATATTTGTCATGAAGATCAATAAAAAAAAAAAGCTCAAAATATGATAATACTGTACTTTGTAAAAAGAAAATGCTCTCATTTAACTAAAATTAATATTAATGCGTAATACAGTACATTTAATTGTGATTATTAGTTACTTATCAATTGAAAATAAATTATTGATTGTTTTAATAAACATATTTTTTTAGTAAGAGAAAAGAATAAGTATACTTTTATTAACTTTTGGAACCTAACCTCATGTTTTGCATTAGTCCTTTGTTTCGTATAACACGGATTTACATAACATGGCATTTTTTTCGAAACATAACTACTGTATTATATGAGGGATATCTGTATGTATATAACTTTTAAGTCATTTTTCATCTTATCATAACAATCAATAACAGAATTTATTACTATAATTTATTCATTTGATTATTGTTAATTAAACAAAAAAGAGTTCTTTGCTTTTAAATAAAAATTAGTAATTAATATAATTAATTTTAAGTTACAAAACTTACAAGAAACAGGGCAATTTCCTTCAGTTATTATCAAATCATCTACAGCAATATCTCCAATATTAATAGATTTCTTTTTTGCTCTGAGAACTACAGAAGCATTTATATTTATGTCTATATGATATGATGCAAACTGCCAATCGCCAATTTGATTATTTTTTAATTGCATTAATGGTCCAATGTATTTTTTATCTAAATAAATAAAAATTAAATAACAAATTAAAATATAATTAAAAATAAAAATTCTAATTCAATTCTTAGTATTCAAGATTTAATAGTTATAATTCTTTTAATTCAATATAGTTTAACTATTATTAAATCTACAATAAATATTGATAAGATTAGAGATGTTTTCTTTTATAAATTTATCATTTTTAATTGAATTCATAAATGTAAAAATATTGTGTGGAAAATAAATTGAAATGAATTAGCATTATTGTATGTATGTTCCTGTTCCTGTTCCTGTAAAGTTTAAAAATGTTATTGATTATGGAGTTATAAATAAATAAATAAAATAAAGATAAAATTTATGCTTTCCCTGTAAGCAACATTACAGATTTATGATCTAGAATTACAGAAGCCATAGCAACTGTTAATGGTTCCGTATATGCAAAGACAGTGTGAAAACTCGACTATCACCTAGATGTGTTAAGTATCATCGGAGATGCACATATTAGCAACTGAATGAATACAGAGAATTTTTTTTGTTTTTTTCCTTTATATGTAGAAATAAATTTTATATCTTAAACTGTACAATTTTTCTGCTATGTTGGAGTTGTAGTTTATCTTTTAAGATAACTGCGTTATTATGTTTTCTTAATTCATTTATGTTAATTACCGCCGGCCATGTCTTTTTACAAATTTTATTTAAAATGTGATATTGTGACAGTGGCAACAAACACCAGAGGACGCTTTGCCTGTTTTTACATTTTTTTACCGAGGCAGTAGCCTTAAAAGGAAGGTCGTCCCCGGAAAATTTTGTGAATTGTCTTAAGGATCGCTGATGGTGTACAAATGAAACGGCGGAAAGACTGACAGAAACAAGGTTCTCACCTTTGTAAAAATGTCGTTTTTTTATAATTTTATTAAATGTAATTACCGCCGGCCATGTCTTTTTACAATTTTTATTTAAAATGTGATATTGTGACAGTGGCAACGAGCACCAGAGNCTTTTTAGTATCTTTTTCTTGCACGAGTATTACCTATACGTGAACAAAGAAATTGTCTTATTTATAATAATAGCATCAAAAGTAATACCAAGTTTTAAGGTGCAATGTTTTAATGTTTTGTTTGAAAAAATTCGGCAACGAGTTACACAACTTTCCTGGCAACATTTAAAACTGAGTGTGTAATGCCATCTGTTAGGATATTTTATTAAAAACTTTTTAAATTTTGATTATTATAAAATGGCAAAAAGCTTAATTTTGAGGATAAAAAACTATAAATGCCAATAACAAGTAAAATCGTCATTAAGTCCAATCCTACTGGAAATACATGCGACTCTCTTTGTCCCCATCCTCTCAACCTTTAATCACCAAAATTTAATAGCATCAATGCCCCTCATATACAAGCCAACATGCCAAATTTTGTTACTTAATCTTTACCCCATCCTGAGATATTAAGTGAAATAGACACCAACACATCTACACAAACACACACACATATGGAATTTTTTGGATTTAGGTGGTCTCAAAATGTGGAAATTGGCAATAAAACTCAAAGGTTCAAATCTGACATGATTTCAATACTTTCCCTTGTTATGTATACATAACAGCCAGGAAAGTAACAGAAAAAATATCTTTGAAATTCATAGTTTGCCTTTTATGTTAGAAGTTACATAGTTATAACTAATTCCAACAAAGTTTAGAATAAAATTTAAACAAATCTGTGGTTAAGTAAACTTATAGATTTGCCAAACTAAACAGTTTTTAATTTAAAAAACTTAAATAATTTAGCGCATAAATAAAATTTACTATTTGTGTGTGATCTAAATTACTTATTAATAAATTTATTGCGCAAAAGAATAATAAAATGATTTGAAAATATATTATATTTAAGATATTTCGGAAATGTATTTTATACAATATTTGACAAACGACTTCCAACAACTTAACACTGTGTTGAATAATAATCCACGAAAACCTTTTTTTTACAAGTGTTATGTCCGTAGTACACTCCACAAACGCTTTTGACCTCCACCGAGGTCTACTTCAGGTGGTGAATGACTGTGCTTCCTCCTGACCATCGTAACGATGTCGCCAGAGATGTAAATAATTGTGCGTGTCGGGTTTCACCCCTCCGACTCAGTCAGTCACCACCTGAAGCAGATCTCGGTGGAGGTCGAAAGCGTTTGTGGAGTGTACTACGAACATAACACTTGTAAAAAAAAGGTTTTCGTGGATTGTTATTATACAATATTTAACTGTAGTAGATTATTATTTTGTTATTATTTTTGGGAGGTTTTTATATGCCTATTAAGATATTCTAAGTATTAAATTATATTATGTATAGCATGTTGTTTTTATTAATGGATAAATAAATTTAATTTTTATTCACATTGAAATAGAATTTCTCCTCTAATGAAACAATTTTTAAATTTCTGGATTATTAGCCAGTAGAGAGCCAAAATTTTTGTACATTCAGAGTGTTTGGACATTTGAGATTAAGATTAAATGTATTGAGGACTGATTTTTCAATTGCTCTGCCACAAAATATTCAGTTTAAATTACTTTTGTTAATTGGTTATAGTTAAAAGTTATTCTTTTAATTTGTTGTAGTTAAGTTTTTATAGTTAATCAATGTTTTAATTATTTTTTGTGTTATTCTGAAATAATTTTGTTTATTTGTGTAAAGTGTCTTTTAAAAAATAAATGTTTTTCAATTTGAGTTGTTATTCTATTTATGTACAGAACAACATACTTATAAGNTTGTTATAGTTAATCAATGTTTTAATTAGTTTTTGTGTTATTATGAAATAATTTTGTTTATTTGTATAAAGTGTCTTTTAAAAAATAAATGTTTATCAATTTGAGTTGTTACTCTATTTATGTACTGAACAACATACTTATAAGTTAAATCAAATATTGGATTTTCATATAAAATGTCATTGATAATCCTGAAAATTTAAATTGCAAATTCTTAACTTTAATGTATTTATTGAACATTTAAAAAAAATTTTTGTACATAAATAAAAATAACGATTTTATTAATTTTTATAGTTATAGAATCAATTGAAAAAAATAACGATTTTATTAATTTTTATAGTTATAGAATCAATTGAAAAAAATTTATTTAATTAGAAATAGATACCAAGACCTTCATCCTGAAAATAACAATATTGGAGACAAAAATGAAATTTTAACAATTTTTTTTTTATTTTAAGAGAAGACTAAAGTGAAAATAGTGCAGAATTATATCCCAATTATATCAATATCAATATAAAATAATAGTTTAAATATTATTTTATATAAAAATAACCAAAAGTGATATAAAGCTATAAAAAACCAAATCACCAGCAAAAAGTTGGGTGGTTGTATTTTCACCAAAAATGAATTTTATGGATCAAAAATGCACATATTATTAAATGCAGAAGTAAATATTAATTATTTGATTTTTGTCATTTACTTTAACCATGACAAATCTCTCCTTTCATTTAACTGGATATTTCTTCTTTGTTTTTAAGGGAAATTTTAATTTTGATGGCCGAGTAACTTTTAATGAAAGGTTGGTCATCAAAAGTTTGTATTCTGGAACATTGAAAGTGAATAAATGATGATTCCTATTTCAATAGACCGTGTCTTCAATTTAATTTTTAAAGATAAAAATCAGTTTTATAAGTATAAAAGAATTCTGCAAGATCATCATCCTTTTAGGAAATTTTTAATATAATTTAGATTTTAAGAAATGATTTTTATCAGGTAGTTTAATTACTGTAAATTATTTAGTCATATTGCTCTNCTTGCTTAATGAATGCAATTCATTCCAGAATCTTACTCAATGCAAAATACTCATTAAGTGAAACAATTTTTTCCATATAAGTGAAACAATTTTTTCCATATTTTACCATATAATGTTTTACCAAAACATTATGGTAAAACATTATTGTGTTTTACCATAATGTAAAACACAATAATGCATTCCACGTCTAAAAAAATACTCAGATATTTTATGTATGATGTTTATTCAAAGAAAATTATACAATATATATTGTTAAGAAGCATGAATCATCATCATCATCCTTTCTTGTAGCACGGAATGCAAATTTGATTTGCAGAAAACAAAAAAAAAAAAAAAATCACAGATAATATGTCTGATAAACACACCAAACGATATGCCAAATACTTGGGCTATGTAAAGCTATAATTAAATATTAGAAATTAGATAATTTGACTAGAGGTAGGCAGTTATGCTGCCATCTCATATTAAATTTAATAATTTGCCCACCAGTGGCCAAGCGATTTTGTTCCCTGAACACTGGGAGCTCAATCATGGGTTCACGCCTGGCCAGGATGGACTGGCCATGTGGAGTTTTCTGGGTTTTCTCCACGTCTGTAACACCTGAATAGGGCCAGTTACCCTTAAAAAGGCCTCCCGGAAGGCATCCCCCCTAGGCAGATTGCCCAAGTGTTGCATTGCCATAACTTAAACAAACAAACAAACAAACAAATTTAATAATTATAAATAATTAATTTTTAATTTAGACATTTCTAAAATTTAATTTGGAATTGGTCATTAAATTTAATACAAGATGGCAGCATAACTACCTACCTTTGGTCAAATTAATTAATTTCTAATATTTTAATTATAGCCTTTACATAGCCCAAAAATTTAGCGTATCGTTTGGCGTGTTTATTATATAACGGGCTATGGTTGTTAATGTTTATATGTAATATGTGTGAACACAAGTTTGAAAAATGTGTGGTCACAAGCGACACTAAGATGCTAGCAGAACGAGTGCTAAACACAGACTGATTGAGCATGCGCAGTCTGGAACTTCTCCTCTCCTCATCACTTGTTAAGTAAGTCATTTTTTTACAATTTGTTTTGCTTGTTATGTGAGGTTCTACTGTATGGTGTATTTACAATTAATGCTTTGTTTATCTGATGGTTTTTAAAAAAAAGACTATGATCAGAATTTATCTTGCAAGGCAGCAAAGAATTTTTACCACATAGCTAACAAAAAACATCAAGAAATTCATACTATGTATACTCAGTAGAGAGAGAATACAACCTTATTACAACATTTGCTTAGGTGTTATAATAAGTAACATTGAAAAAACTTACAAGTTTTAGTAACAGTTTTAATAAACATAAACCTGCATCAATCCAATAGATTTTATAACCATTTCAAGGTAATGAATAACAGTGTTAAATAAATAAATAAATAATAATAATAATATATTTAATNTGGATGCACTGCCAGTTATACTACCGAAGCATCCAATCCAATCTCCTCTTCCATACATATTTAAATATTTAATAAAACATTAATTTAATAATAGATGGCACCTAACACATTCCTCTAGTGACAAATTATTTAGTAATTAATTAAATACAATTGCTGAACAGTAGCCAATGTAATCCAGTAGTTATTTGGTTTTACAGTGTAGAACATCAACTCATTAACTATAACACAAGTTACTGTTACTGTGTGAAAAGTTTTCTAGGGCTGTACGAAGTAGTTGACAGTGAACTACAAAATCACCACTCAGGTGCTTCTGTCATCAGTAATTCACCTGCCCATTAATTAATTAATGTCCAAAGAAACAAATGGTGTTCATTCTGACCACCATTTGTTTCTTTTGTGCACATGAGTGAAAAGAAAGAAAGAAACAAACAACTTATAAGAATAAACCCATAGAAAGGAGTGAAAAGACACAAAAAGACACCTTGTACTTTGAACAGCTCTAACTTTGAATGCTTTAAAGTTTGAACAATGTCTCATAATTCAAACTGTACATACAGTGAAAAAAATTGCTTAAAGTATAAATGCAATCTGTTGCATGCCCAAGTTGTCCTTTGTTGTTGTGTTATGCTTATAACGCATATGCTTATATTTTATATTCTTTCATTGCTTTTTTTTTTACTTTACTTTTGTGTTTTTGGTTACATGTATTGTGTTGTTTTGATTTTTAGCATTTTTTTTTCCTCCCTGCAATTTTTGTGATAGCTTATGGATTTACCATGTGTTTCATATTCTTTAGTTCAAAATTTCCAGAATGTATCTACTATATTTCTAAAAACTAAAAGTATGATGAAAGTCTTAAATGTTTTATCGATTATTAATGATACTATTTAATAACCGTTTACTCATTTTTTAATGATGAATTATGTAGTGATGATAAAAATATGAAATACTTATAATTAAAAATATCTGGAAACAACAGGAAGTTTTTGATCACCTGATAGTTTTATGTATGATTAATTTCTGTCTAAATCTTAAGTATTCAATTATAATTAAAATATGGACTTCACTACTTTTTAATATAAACATAAATTAGTAGAATAAAAAGTAAATTCATAGTTTTTATTACAGATATGAAATGTGATATATCAGAGAAAAAAATGCAACAATCTCTGGTATATAATTCATTTTATAAGCATTATATATATATATATAGGTATCCCTCGTACAACATGATACTTCTACAACACGGTTTCACTCTAACACAGTTAGAGAAATCCTCCATACAAAATTTCACAATTTTTAAGTGTAAACTTTGTTATTCAATATTTTTTTCATTCAAGTAAGCATGCATGTTGTCTCAAATTTGCCCACAGATTTTGGAATATTGAAATTTTCAATTTGTTTTATGCCTTTCATCAGGTTTACTTTAATGAAAACTGGAACAAGAAAGAAAAAAAATTTATCAACCAGGTGTCATTGTCATTGCTTTCAGACTTTAAGACTGTCACTGTGTTTTGTTTTTACAGATTAATCTTCATATTTAGTAAACAAAGTTCATTTAAACATTTTAGGTAAGTGTTTTTAACCTTTTCTGAACCATATGTTAGTAATCATTCATCAAAACGATGAATAAAATACAGCGGTATCTCGGTACTCAAACTATTCCCAACTCCGACAATTCAGTATGTGAACTCAAATTCTGGAAAAAGTCGCTCAGTACTTGACTGAACAAATGTGACCTGCTAGAACACAATTCTGATTAATAACATATTTGTATTTTGTCACCCATAAAAAATTTTTTATGATAAAAATACAAAAATGACGATGTTGCTGATATTTGTCATGAAGATCAATAAAAAAAAAAAAGCTCAAAATATGATAATACTGTACTTTGTAAAAAGAAAATGCTCTCATTTAACTAAAATTAATATTAATGCGTAATACAGTACATTTAATTGTGATTATTAGTTACTTATCAATTGAAAATAAATTATTGATTGTTTTAATAAACATATTTTTTTAGTAAGAGAAAAGAATAAGTATACTTTTATTAACTTTTGGAACCTAACCTCATGTTTTGCATTAGTCCTTTGTTTCGTATAACACGGATTTACATAACATGGCATTTTTTTCGAAACATAACTACTGTATTATATGAGGGATATCTGTATGTATATAACTTTTAAGTCATTTTTCATCTTATCATAACAATCAATAACAGAATTTATTACTATAATTTATTCATTTGATTATTGTTAATTAAACAAAAAAGAGTTCTTTGCTTTTAAATAAAAATTAGTAATTAATATAATTAATTTTAAGTTACAAAACTTACAAGAAACAGGGCAATTTCCTTCAGTTATTATCAAATCATCTACAGCAATATCTCCAATATTAATAGATTTCTTTTTTGCTCTGAGAACTACAGAAGCATTTATATTTATGTCTATATGATATGATGCAAACTGCCAATCGCCAATTTGATTATTTTTTAATTGCATTAATGGTCCAATGTATTTTTTATCTAAATAAATAAAAATTAAATAACAAATTAAAATATAATTAAAAATAAAAATTCTTATTCAATTCTTAGTATTCAAGATTTAATAGTTATAATTCTTTTAATTCAATATAGTTTAACTATTATTAAATCTACAATAAATATTGATAAGATTAGAGATGTTCTTTTATAAATTTATCATTTTTAATTGAATTCATAAATGTAAAAATATTGTGTGGAAAATAAAGTGAAATGAATTAGCATTATTGTATGTATGTTCCTGTTCCTGTAAAGTTTAAAAATGTTATTGATTATGGAGTTATAAATAAATAAATAAAACAAAGATAAAATTTATGCTTTCCCTGTAAGCAACATTACAGATTTATGATCTAGAATTACAGAAGCCATAGCAACTGTTAATGGTTCCATATATGCAAAGACTGTGAAAACTTGACTATCACCTAGATGTGTTAAGTATCATCGGAGATGCACATATAGCAACTGAATGAATACAGAGAATTTTTTTTGTTTTTTTCCTTTATATGTAGCAATAAATTTTATATCTTAAACTGTACAATTTTTCTGCTATGTTGAAGTTGTAGTTTATCTTTTAAGATACCTGTGTTATTATGTTTTGTTAATATATATTTAATATATATATTAACAAGACATATATATGTTTAATTTTTCATAAATTAGAAGATTATAAAACAGATTAAAAAAACAAAATCCAGTAACGAGTTGCTAAATTTTCCTGGCAACATTTAAAACTGAGTGTGTAATGCCATCTGTTATGATATTTTATTAAAAACTTTTTAAATTTTGATTATTATAAAATGGCAAAAAGCTTAATTTTGAGGATAAAAAACTATAAATGCCAATAACAAGTAAAATCGTCATTAAGTCCAATCCTACTGGAAATACACGTGACCCTCTTTGTCCCCCATCCTCTCAACCTTTAATCACCAAAATTTAATAGCATCAATGCCCCTCATATACAAGCCAACATGCCAAATTTTGTTACTTAATCTTTACCCCATCCTGAGATATTAAGTGAAATAGACACCAACACATCTACACAAACACACACACATATGGAATTTTTTGGATTTAGGTGGTCTCAAAATGTGGAAATTGGCAATAAAACTCAAAGGTTCAAATCTGACATGATTTCAATACTTTCCCTTGTTATGTATACATAACAGCCAGGAAAGTAACAGAAAAAATATCTTTGAAATTCATAGTTTGCCTTTTATGTTAGAAGTTACATAGTTATAACTAATTCCAACAAAGTTTAGAATAAAATTTAAACAAATCTGTGGTTAAGTAAACTTATAGATTTGCCAAACTAAACAGTTTTTAATTTAAAAAACTTAAATAATTTAGCGCATAAATAAAATTTACTATTTGTGTGTGATCTAAATTACTTATTAATAAATTTATTGCGCAAAAGAATAATAAAATGATTTGAAAATATATTATATTTAAGATATTTCGGAAATGTATTTTATACAATATTTGACAAACGACTTCCAACAACTTAACACTGTGTTGAATAATAATCCACGAAAACCTTTTTTTTACAAGTGTTATGTCCGTAGTACACTCCACAAACGCTTTTGACCTCCACCGAGGTCTACTTCAGGTGGTGAATGACTGTGCTTCCTCCTGACCATCGTAACGATGTCGCCAGAGATGTAAATAATTGTGCGTGTCGGGTTTCACCCCTCCGACTCAGTCAGTCACCACCTGAAGCAGATCTCGGTGGAGGTCGAAAGCGTTTGTGGAGTGTACTACGAACATAACACTTGTAAAAAAAAGGTTTTCGTGGATTGTTATTATACAATATTTAACTGTAGTAGATTATTATTTTGTTATTATTTTTGGGAGGTTTTTATATGCCTATTAAGATATTCTAAGTATTAAATTATATTATGTATAGCATGTTGTTTTTATTAATGGATAAATAAATTTAATTTTTATTCACATTGAAATAGAATTTCTCCTCTAATGAAACAATTTTTAAATTTCTGGATTATTAGCCAGTAGAGAGCCAAAATTTTTGTACATTCAGAGTGTTTGGACATTTGAGATTCAGATTAAATGTATTGAGGACTGATTTTTCAATTGCTCTGCCACAAAATATTCAGTTTAAATTACTTTTGTTAATTGGTTATAGTTAAAAGTTATTCTTTTAATTTGTTGTAGTTAAGTTGTTATAGTTAATCAATGTTTTAATTAGTTTTTGTGTTATTATGAAATAATTTTGTTTATTTGTATAAAGTGTCTTTTAAAAAATAAATGTTTATCAATTTGAGTTGTTACTCTATTTATGTACTGAACAACATACTTATAAGTTAAATCAAATATTGGATTTTCATATAAAATGTCATTGATAATCCTGAAAATTTAAATTGCAAATTCTTAACTTTAATGTATTTATTGAACATTTAAAAAAAATTTTTGTACATAAATAAAAATAACGATTTTATTAATTTTTATAGTTATAGAATCAATTGAAAAAAATAACGATTTTATTAATTTTTATAGTTATAGAATCAATTGAAAAAAATTTATTTAATTAGAAATAGATACCAAGACCTTCATCCTGAAAATAACAATATTGGAGACAAAAATGAAATTTTAACAATTTTTTTTTTATTTTAAGAGAAGACTAAAGTGAAAATAGTGCAGAATTATATCCCAATTATATCAATATCAATATAAAATAATAGTTTAAATATTATTTTATATAAAAATAACCAAAAGTGATATAAAGCTATAAAAAACCAAATCACCAGCAAAAAGTTGGGTGGTTGTATTTTCACCAAAAATGAATTTTATGGATCAAAAATGCACATATTATTAAATGCAGAAGTAAATATTAATTATTTGATTTTTGTCATTTACTTTAACCATGACAAATCTCTCCTTTCATTTAACTGGATATTTCTTCTTTGTTTTTAAGGGAAATTTTAATTTTGATGGCCGAGTAACTTTTAATGAAAGGTTGGTCATCAAAAGTTTGTATTCTGGAACATTGAAAGTGAATAAATGATGATTCCTATTTCAATAGACCGTGTCTTCAATTTAATTTTTAAAGATAAAAATCAGTTTTATAAGTATAAAAGAATTCTGCAAGATCATCATCCTTTTAGGAAATTTTTAATATAATTTAGATTTTAAGAAATGATTTTTATCAGGTAGTTTAATTACTGTAAATTATTTAGTCATATTGCTCTTATAAATGTAAACAGTTATTCACTACTCTAATCTTCAATCTTATTATTGAAAGAGATTATATGAATTAAGATGCTCAAAATCAAATATACTAAATACATCATTTTGATGATATTATTTATAAACTTAGTTATATAAACAAGCTCATATGACTGCTTTGTAAAGTGAAAAGATAACAAAGAATTAATTAAATTCTTTGTTATCTTTAACAATCCACAAAACCTTTTTATAACAGTGTTGTCTCCATAACAAACTTCACTAATGTTTTCGATCTCCACCGAGGTCTTCCTCAGGTGGTGTCTCCTCTTGACTGTTGAAACGATGACACCTGAGATGTAAATAACACGATATGTGCATTATTTACATCTCGGGCATCATCGTTCCAACGGTCAAGAGGAGACACCGTTTAGTCACCACATGAAGAAGACCTCGGTGGAGGTCGAAAACATTAGTGAAGTTTGTTACGAAGACAACACTGTTATAAAAAGGTTTTGTGGATTGTTATTACTCAATGCAGTGTTAAGATTAGAAGTCTTTTTGTTATCTTTCCCATTGCACCATCATACTGAATTTTTATTCAATTAAAAAATATGATTTTCTTAGATGATATGATCTATTGCACCAGTTATCAAATATCAGATCCTGTTTAACAACTCATTACATTTAAAAATCAAAATAATGGTACTTACTTTGCAACAGGAACATAGTTAAAGAAACTTGTTCAGGACTATTCAAATAATACCACATTTGAAAGCAGTAAGAATTTACTTCACCAGGGACTATCTGACTAACTATTTCACCTGCTGTTGATTTCTTTGCTGGATTAAAATATGCATAATAACCTAAAAAAAAAAGACAAAAATATTTAGCAATGAATTTTATAATTAGCTCTAATAATAAAGATTTTTCTTAATTATTTATACAATTTGATGTTATTTTAATTAAATAAAATCTTACCATATGAACTCTTTAGAGTATTATCAAGAGATGGTCCTTTCTTATCAAATATGGCTGCTTTAGCTTGTTTCACTTTCCAAGAATCGTCAAGTTTCCACGAACATTGTGACATAGATTCAAAGTTACACATCCAATTGCTAGGTACTGTTTAAGAAAAATACATACCTTTTGTGTTATTTAAAAACTATTAATTATATAAAGATATCATTAAGATAATAAAACAGTGTTACAAGTAAATTACTCATACTAATTAATTAATAATATAATAAATTGCATTTTTCAATTATCTAATTGTCAATTGATAATTACTGTTTACAAACAAATATGGATGACTGAAACACAATGATAAAATTAAACAGANATGAATTTTATAATTAGCTCTAATAATAAAGATTTTTCTTAATTATTTATACAATTTGATGTTATTTTAATTAAATAAAATCTTACCATATGAACTCTTTAGAGTATTATCAAGAGATGGTCCTTTCTTATCAAATATTGCTGCTTTAGCTTGTTTCACTTTCCAAGAATCGTCAAGTTTCCACGAACATTGTGACATAGATTCAAAGTTACACATCCAATTGCTAGGTACTGTTTAAGAAAAATACATACCTTTTGTGTTATTTAAAAACTATTAATTATATAAAGATATCATTAAGATAATAAAACAGTGTTACAAGTAAATTACTCATACTAATTAATTAATAATATAATAAATTGCATTTTTCAATTATCTAATTGTCAATTGATAATTACTGTTTACAAACAAATATGGATGACTGAAACACAATGATAAAATTAAACAGACTTTTAATCAACACATAAATAAAACAGAAATTTCATATCTTCCTAGAATGATATGACACAAATAACACAAAAGACATTAAAGAAGCTATAGTAAAGTATTTCTCATCTTATAACTATTTAAAAAATAAGATTAGTGAGATAATTTTACCTGCTGTTGGAAGCGGAGAAATAGTAGTAACTTCTTCACAGTTTCTGTCTACATAAATATCATCAATTGCATGTACAAAATCAAAAAAGGCATCCTTCTCTCCTAAGATGTATAACTGTTAAAAATTTGAGTTTAAAAATAAGTGAAAACTGATTAAATGTTCTATAAATTAAATATTAATATTAAAATATATTAGATTAGCTATAATTGTAGTATCTAAATTGTAAAATAAATCACCGTATTTCATTATATTACGTAAATTTGTATTAACCCGCATTATGACAGAATGCGGATGTGCAGTTTGCCAGGGTTGTGTAATGTTGCATGATATGTAAAGTAAGACTTGAAAAAGTCTACTAACCTGTAATTGTTTTATTTGTGTGCTGAAAATACTAAATGTAAGAATTTTTAAAAATAAATTTTAAAGATTACTTCTCAGGTATGTAGTTTTGATGTTGGAGTACTTCAATATATTTATGTATTAGTTGCCTCTTTGTTACATAATATCGTAATATATTTATATATTGGTTGCTTGTTTGTAAAATAGGTGTAAGTAAATTCTGAGCTGGTGAAACCTGTTTTTAACTGTTAAAAAACCAATTTAGGAATCTCACTAGTAAATATAAGATCGGATAATTTTTAAGGTATGTAGTATTCAGAGAAAGAACTTTGATGATTTTTATAATATAAAATATAATGTCGATTTATAAATCTGTAGGAACGTGTGCAAAACTTATTTGATTGAATGTAAAATACTGCATCACACTTATACATGTATACACATGTATAAGCGTCTTTCTGAGTCGGATAAAAGAGCTCATGGTATGTCTCGCAAACAGAACTATAAACTTAGTACAGTAATACTCCGAACTTAAGCGATAGGTGGGACCGAGCGATGACTGCGTAAGTTGGGGTATAATTTCACAATTTGTGTAAAATCCAAGTCGGATGTATGTAAGCTAATAAATGTTCTCATTAATCTTATCTCGTCTTTTGATTTGTTTACGGTTACAAGAAATCATCACATATAGTCTCTCAAGTCTCCGTAGATATAACAAACACAGAAATAAATAACACAAAATAAATTGTAGCTATGTGTTGATTCTGCGCGACACATCCGAACATGTAAGCTGAACAATAGTGTGGGGGGAGTGAGTAATCAAGAGTTGCGTGGCGCTCAAACAAAAGACGAATCGACAAGATTTGAAAATCCCATAACTCCGGGTTCGCGTAAGTCGAGGTAGCGTAAGTCGAGGTATTATATATTAAAATAACTTTTCTATGTTACGTTATATTATAAAAAAGAATTTATATTTAACCTTTTAATATTTAGTTGACTAAGAGGGGCAGTGCCCAAAACATGATATTGTACGTGTATCAACTAAATAAAGATGGAATACTGCCAAGTGTTGGAATAGTGACACGACTTGTGTTTGTGAATCATAAAATTTAATATTTATAATAATTATGACAAATTAAATTTTGAATACTAAATTAAAAAAAAGAAAGAAACAAAACATTAAACTTTAGAAAAAATCATTTATATTTGAGAAAATTCAAATACTGAAATACTAACAAACAGATATAATATCAAAATCATGTCTTATATTTCAAAATAACAAATTGGTAATGATAATTTTTTATTATAAAATAAGTTAACTTCAACATACAAATAAAAATAAAATTCTAGAATTATAACTGATGCATAAAACACTAAACATTACATTCCTACTATAATTTTCAATACTACTTTTCAGTTTCCTTTCTACGTAAATTTCACACACACACACAGTTATAAATGTTTTACGGGTTTTTAAATGATAAAATTAAATATTTTTGTATTGACTGAGATAAAATATTATAGTACCAAAAAGCTACAAATTTAATTTTACTTACTCTATATGCTTCTGGCATATTTGTTACCAACTGTTCATGCTTTATCCACAAGTTACGAAAATTAGTTACATTGCTAATTGATGCTTTCTTACCAGATTCATGATCTACGTAACTTATACTTAATCCTCTGTTTCCTATAATATGAAACAAATTATCTTATTTTATTATAAAATTTTAAAGTTAATGCTAATTTGGGCAAAAAAAATTTCAAAAATAAAAAAAGTAACAATAACTTTTAAAAGCAGTAAAAAATAGCATAAAATACACAAAATAACTACTAAAAAGTTTAAAAATGATATAGTTTATTTTTAAATAATGTTTAAAATTTGTATATAATTTTCGTGTAGAGAATTATTAAGTTACCCCATAGATGCAACTGCCTGAATATCTGAAAGATAGCACTTAATGTAGATTATCCTATTTTAGATTAATATACTTAGGATACAACAGTTAACTCTGGTGGGCAACAAAATGAAAAAATTATACTACAAAATTTCAAAATATTTTAGCTATTGGTAGAAATTGAGAAATCCAAACAGTGTCAGATTGTGGTAAGAAAGATTAGAAAATTTGAAAACCGAATATCAAATATTTGAAGTAAATTGGAGTAAACCTTGTAAGATAATTGTTATTTTCTTTAAACTTTTTAAAATTTTAGCATCGTTTATCTGAAGGTCGGTTATCCGAAGGAATTCCAGTCGACAAATTTAAATTTTCGCCAGTGCTGTGGTGCTGTAATCTTTGGCTATGTCTTCGGCTACTCAAATATTTTATGTTTTTGATACTAAATTAACTTCTGAAGTATAATTTTTTATTGTTNCGAAAATTCAACGCAAAGGCGTTGAATTTTCGTCAATGTCGATGTTAAGCTTAATGAAAACTTTTTAAAATAATAATCGTGGCTATTGTATCGTTAAAAATTATTTTTTTATTTTGTACAAACAAAATAAATATATTGAAAAATATAAAAAACCAAAAAAAATATACTTTAGAAGTTGATCTAGTATCAAAAACGTTCAATTCAGCACAACACAGTCCTCAGAAAAACACCACACAAAAGTGCCAGTGCTGCCAGCTAAAACACACACACCAACAAAAAATATTGGAGTAGCCCAAGATATAGCCAAATATTGCAGTGCCACAGCACTAGCGAAAATTTACATTTTCCGACTGGAATGCTTTCAGATAACCAACGTTTCGGATAACCGATTTTCGGATAAATGACGCTCTACTGTATTATTAATTGTAATAAAATGCAAAAGGCTTAATTTTGAAGGCAAAGATGAATTTTTAAAAATATTGTAAATGCCAATAGTTGTTAAAATTTTCATTAAGTCCAATTTATTTTGAGATACAACACGACATCTCTATAGCTCCTCACTCCCCTCAAACTTTAACTAACAAAATTTAATATTATTAATGTTCCTTATATACAAGTTACCATGCCAAATTTTGTTTGTTAATCTTTACCTCATCCTGAGATATTAAATAAAACAGATGCCAATATACATGTGAAATTTCTCTCCTTTTCTACTTTTTAAGGTTCAAGGGTCTCAAAATGTCAAGATTTGTAAAAAACCAGAGTCAAATTTGAAACTATTCCAATACTTTCTCCTGTTATGTATATATAACAGCTGGGAAAGTAAAAGTATAATTAATCTTAGAATGGCTTATAGATGCTTATATTTGTATATTTGTCTGTTTTCTTCTGGCTCCTTCCTTTTTATACCTTTTGGTCCCCTAATGATCAAACATGACATGTGATCATGGTTATCTTGGATGCGTTCCATTCAAAACAGTCTGAAGAGAACAAAAAATGGGAGGGGGAAAAGTTGTAAATAGAATACAGGAGGTAAACAAAACTAATTAACTGTGGTTACTAGAATCACATACAACACAGATATCACAAAATATATTATAAAGTATTGTTTAAGTAAACAATTGGTTTTAAAATACAAAAATAAAATAAATTAATTTATTTAANCACCACACAAAAGTGCCAGTGCTGCCAGCTAAAACACACACACCAACAAAAAATATTGGAGTAGCCCAAGATATAGCCAAATATTGCAGTGCCACAGCACTAGCGAAAATTTACATTTTCCGACTGGAATGCTTTCAGATAACCAACGTTTCGGATAACCGATTTTCGGATAAATGACGCTCTACTGTATTATTAATTGTAATAAAATGCAAAAGGCTTAATTTTGAAGGCAAAGATGAATTTTTAAAAATATTGTAAATGCCAATAGTTGTTAAAATTTTCATTAAGTCCAATTTATTTTGAGATACAACACGACATCTCTATAGCTCCTCACTCCCCTCAAACTTTAACTAACAAAATTTAATATTATTAATGTTCCTTATATACAAGTTACCATGCCAAATTTTGTTTGTTAATCTTTACCTCATCCTGAGATATTAAATAAAACAGATGCCAATATACATGTGAAATTTCTCTCCTTTTCTACTTTTTAAGGTTCAAGGGTCTCAAAATGTCAAGATTTGTAAAAAACCAGAGTCAAATTTGAAACTATTCCAATACTTTCTCCTGTTATGTATATATAACAGCTGGGAAAGTAAAAGTATAATTAATCTTAGAATGGCTTATAGATGCTTATATTTGTATATTTGTCTGTTTTCTTCTGGCTCCTTCCTTTTTATATCTTTTGGTCCCCTAATGATCAAACATGACATGTGATCATGGTTATCTTGGATGCATTCCATTCAAAACAGTCTGAAGAGAACAAAAAATGGGAGGGGGAAAAGTTGTAAATAGAATACAGGAGGTAAACAAAACTAATTAACTGTGGTTACTAGAATCACATACAACACAGATATCACAAAATATATTATAAAGTATTGTTTAAGTAAACAATTGGTTTTAAAATACAAAAATAAAATAAATTAATTTATTTAAATTAATAAATACCTAGAAAACCTCCCGAATAATACCACAAACTAATGCACATTGTTGGACTATAATGCAGATGTTCACTTTCAAGGACAGCAGTCACGTCGGTTGAATATGATCTGGTGTTTGTAAGTTGCAAATACCAGCCTGAAAATTTCAAAAATTTAAAATTTATTTATATCAATAAATATAATCATAAAAAAGTAAATTGATACTATTACAAAACATTCTCAGTCTTCAAAAGTTATTATTTAATTAATTATCTGAGCACTATAAATGGTTCTTGCTGGGACTTATCACATGCTATTGAGAAATCACTTAGAGACTGATGAACATTAATTATTTATTTGTAACTACGGTGTGCGATTCAAGCAGACAAGCTCTCTCTCTCTTCAGCTTTTATGATCACTAAATTACAAGCACGTAATCGATAATTGTAAATCCACATATCTTCTATCGACAACTTTCCATTAACCATTTAGTTACAGGAAATGTAAAGAATTTTAATTTTCTGCCATTTAATCTATAGCTATGTAAGTGTTAACCTTACAGAAATTATTTTTAAACCAATCTTTCAATCCAAGGTCATTGGCCAGACATTCCCATTATTTGTGCAGTGTTTTTGGTTGTTATTAATCTGTTATTCTGTAATTACATATATTACAGACCAAGGCTTAATCAATTTGTTATTTTCTAATCTCAAATATTCAATTGTAGTGCTCGGATAATTAATTAATAATAACGGGACAAGAAGCATAATATTAATTCAAGTTATTAATTGAAGAATGAAGAATTACATTAAGATTACATTAGTATATAAATCGTCATTTCCAATATATAAAATTATGGAAGGAAATAATATAAAAAAGCTGAAAAATAAAAATAGAATATTAAAAAATGAAAGACAAAGTACTTTCAGCAGATGATTTTAACAAAAATGTAAAAGTAAATTAAGAGGAAGCAAAAATAAGTTTCGAAAAGAGATATAATGCACTAATTATTCAGATTTGTTAATAATTAAAGAAGAAAAATTGGTTTTAATTACTGCTAAAGTATAATAATAAAACTAAATCTATAGTAAGAACTAGAGCTGTAACAAAACTGAACTGATACCAATTTGATATCTGATCTTTCCTGTTTTTAAATTATTTTTTAGTCTAAAGATCATAACCATACCAATATATCAGTGTATTGGAATGTTCCCAATATATTGATATTGATAACTTTTACAAATCAATGCTCTGATCTTTCTTTCATTTTTTGAAAGTGACTATTAAAAAAGCAAAGAAAAATAAGAGATTGAAACATTGGTTATTAAAAAAAATCAATTCCAACATAAGCTACAGTACATTCTGGATATGCCAATGTATAGTTATTGGTAAGAATCTCTATTAAGAACATTAAAAACTAAAAAAATAAAAGTTTAAAAATACTAGAAATTTAGTAAAATTAATGATAAATTGATAGTAATTACATAAATTTGTAAAAAAATTTTTAAAATGAATTTTTACAATTTTTACGTTTGATTTACGTTTAAATACTTTATATAAATATATTAAAAATATTGAATTTGAATAAATAAAAAAGTACAAATTGCCAACAAATAAGTTTAGACTGGAACAAGTCTAAGTCCTCATTAAAAACCAAAATCACTAGGCAGAAATTGTCTTATTATGGTCATGTCATGCGCATCAACTGATTTGAGAAGCTTATTTTGATTGGAAAGATCAACAGACATAGGAAAAATGGGCACCCATAAACTCATTTATTGGACACCATAGAGTTGGATACTAAAAAGAGCATTAGAGAACTTAAGGATGATTTGACAGGACCAAATGGAGGAGATTAATTCATAGAATGATCAAAAATCAACTTCAATTGAATGGATAATTATGATGATAAAATAGGATAAATAGTATTAAAATTTAATTATAGATTTTATACAATAAATCATTAAACAAATGACTTACCATCATAACTGTTTGTGGTATGGTCAACAGGTAAGTCATAACGAGAACCTAATTCTGAACCAGATACTCTTAACCACCTTCCTCCTACACTAAACGGAGAAGGAAGACTTCTCCAAGTACACATATCTGCTTCGAAATTACAATGTCCAGGTGGAGGACAAGTGCCTTCCAAAAATTTCACGTCGTCAATAGCTATGACACTTTTACTCGATTTCTTTATACCATGAAACGTTATCTAAAATAATTTTATATTAATAATCAGTCGTTATATATAATGCAATATTTATGAAAAAAATACGGAAAACTATTTTGACAGTATTCATTAAATTTTAATCAATGTTACTTTTGTACTCTTTGATGCAATATCAATTAAATTGATATCATTAATAACTATTATTCAGTATAAAATTATTACTATTTTCTTTGTTAATGTGGGATAACTCTTAAAAATATTCATGCAAATAATAATTTTAAGTATTTAGCTTTAGACATTTGTTCTGTTTTTCAATTACAGTCGACCCCCCTATAACACAGTAGATATGTTCCTGTTTTTATGAATCCAGCTTCTAGGATCAATCACAGCCCGGCACGTTATGGACTACGGCTGTTTGAAAGGTTTCTTCCATAAAATTAATCGATTCTAGACTAATTCGACTCAACATTTCCAAAATACGTATAATTTTTGGGAATAATCCATATAAACTACACTATAAACAAAAATTGTAGGATTACTTACCGAGTGTGCATCGTTCGACTACGCCGTTGCTTAAGCTTGTTTTCGTCGTGGAGATTGTCATTGAATGGCGCTCGCGTGCTTCCTGATAAATTATTTTTTTTGCGAAAAATTCGCTGAACTTTAGAGACATCATTAATATAAATATAATTTTTATGGACGTTAAATAATAAATGGTTTTTAGTAG